TCACACTATTTTTGATACAAGCCAGGATGCCATTGGCTTTCTTGCCCCCCTGGGCACACGCCGGCTCATATTCAGCCGTTTGGCAACTCGAACCCCCAGGTCTCTTCCCTCCAGGCAGCTCCAGCCACACTTCCCCCAGCCTGTAGCGCTGCAGGGGGTTATTGTGGCCCAAGTGCAGGACCTGGCACTTGCCCTTGTTGAAACTCATTCCATTGGCATTGGCCCAGTGATCCAATCTCTCTAGATCCTCTTGCAAAGCTTCCCTATCCTCCTGGGAGTCAACACTCCTGCTTAACTTGGTGTCATCTGCAAACTTGCTGATGTTACACCTTATGTCCTTAGCGAGATCATCAATAAAGACCATCAATAAAGATGGGTCAGGGCTGGGGTCCTCACCTCCCCACTCTCCAGGATTGCGGAGCTGGGGGAGAACACCCAGGTGGCCTCACCTCTCCTCGTCACTGCTGGTGTCATCATCACTGCTCTCCTCATCCTGTGCTTTTCCTGCGTCAGGTCCTGTGTCTGCAGCAGGAGGGGGCTCAGCTGGAGCTGCCTCCTGAGGTACCTCCTTCTTCTGCCCTTTCTTTGTTGCTTTGTCTGGGGAACAAGAACCACCGGGTGAGAAAGGGTTGAGGCAGATCCCACTGTGGATCATTCGTCTGGAGATTCAGCTCATTAATGCTACGTTAATACCAGCTCATTCCTGCGTCAGGTCCTGTGTCTGCAGCAGGAGGGGGCTCAGCTGGAGCTGCCTCCTGGGGTACCTCCTTCTTCTGCCCTTTCTTTGTTGCTTTGTCTGGGGAACAAGAACCACCAGGTGAGAAAGGGTTGAGGCAGATCCCACTGTGGATCATTCGTCTGGAGATTCAGCTCATTAATGCTACGTTAATACCAGCTCATTAAATGATACAGGCTGGAAGTAAGCCCTGGAGATCTCCGGTCTTGCTCAGAGCAGCATCCCCACCATGGTTTGATCCAGTACCCCCGAGGGCTGTGGGGCTGCCCCTCTGTGTCCCCCCACAGTGACGCAGCCCCCCACTAACCTCTCTGAGACCCGCGCTGTCTCTCAGCCAACATCTGTGACTGCCTCAGCTCCAGATCCTCATCTGCATCGTCCTCGATGCCGGCAAAAGCATCCTGGGGACAGGGAGCAGCAGGTCAGGGGACACAGGGCAGACCCAGGCAGCTGTTGGGGACAAGGCCATCCTGTCATTTCTGGCCCAGTAGGACTCACCTTCTCAAACCACAGGCTGGTCTGCCGTTCCTCCAGCACCGACTTCTCCTCCAGGGGTACCAGCAGGGGATTCTCCTGTTCCTCCCCTTCCTCCTCCTCCTGCTCCTTCTGCTTAAACTTTGCCCTGTGACAAACACCAGCAGGATCAGTGTCCCCAGAGGGGGGGAGGTTAGAATCATAGAATCACAGAATTGCCCAGGCCGGAAGGGACCTCCAAAGGCCATCTAGTCCGACCCCCCCGCAGTCAGCAGGGACACCCCCAACTAGACCAGGTTGCCCAGGGCCTCGTCGAGCCTCTCCTTGAATATCTCCAGGGAAGGGGCCTCAACCACCTCCCTGGGCAACCTGTTCCAGTGCTCCACCACCTGTCCCTCCTCTGGACCCTCTCCATCAGGTCCATGCCCTTCTTATATTGAGGGCTCCAGACCTGCACACAATACTCCAGGTGAGGTCTCACCAGAGCAGAGTCAAGTGGCAGAATCCCCTCTCTGGACCTGCTGGCAACGCTTCTTTTGATGCAGCCCAGGATGGGATTGGCCTTCTGGGCTGCAGCTGCCCACTGCCTGCTCATGTCCAGCTTCTCATCCACCAGCACCCCCAAGTCCCTTTCCTCAGGGCTGCTTTCCAACACCTCACCCCCTAGTTTGTATTGGTGGCAATACAAAGGGAGTCCTCCCCTGGCTCTTACCTCTTCGCACCCTGCTCTCGCCTCTCCCGCTCCAGCCGGCGCTGACGGGCTTCTATCTCAAGCAGTTCCTCCGGGTCCAGATCGCTGGCCAGGGACACATCATCATCTTCCTCATTATCCGAGATATAAATGTCATCGTCTCCAGGTCCTATCTCCAGGAGGGCATCTGCTGATGCCATGTCTCCTCGGGTCAACTCGTTCAGCAGCTGCAACGCAAGTGAGACATGTCACAAGCTCCAGCCCCACCACTGTCCCTGTCCCCAGGCTCTGGGAGCCCAGCCTCCCCCTGCCCCACACACCGGGGTCCTGTGGATGGTCCGGAGGGAGAACATGCTGGTGTCACCATCATCAGCGATGGAGACACCAGGGAGGTCCATCTTCAGCTCCACACGCTCACGCTGCTTCCGCTGTTCCTTCAGGATCTTCTTCTTCTTCCTGGAGAAGTACACAAAGGGATGAGGCCACACTGTGTCCCTCCCCCCACACATCCCAGTGACTCATTCCCTGCCATACTGGTGCCCAATCTCCCACAGCAACACTGTCATCCCTCTCTGAGGGATCACCAACCTGGGGACAAAGGGGGCCCACACCAGCCTGGAACAGAGGCTTCACCCACTTGGAGAAGCAAACAACCCCAAAGATCCCAGATCCACAACCCCCCCCAGATGTCAACAGAGGGACAGGCTCTGACACAGCCACCCTCTGTCCCCTTGGCTGGAGCCCCCCCTCGCTCTCCCATCTCTCCTCACGTGAGATAGAATTATAGAATGGTTTGGGTGGGAAGGGACCTTAAAGCCCCCCCAGTGCCACCCCCTGCCCTGGGCAGGGACACCTCCCACCAGCCCAGGTTGCTCCAAGCCCCCTCCAACCTGCCCTTGAACCCCTCCAGGGATGGGGAGATCTTTTTACCTCTTTAACTCTGCCAGCTCCTTGACTTTCATCTCTGCCAACGCCAGCTCTACCTCCTCCTCTTCTTCTTTCGCCTCCTCATCAGGTGCAGTGCTTGGCGACGCCTTCTTCTCCTTCTTCTCCTCCTTCTCCTCCTCTTTGCCTTCCTCCTCTTCACCAGAGCTCAGGCTGCCAAAAGGAAGGAGCTCAGACCATCTCTCCCAGTGGAGGCCCATCCCACCACGTTGGCGCTCTGGGGCAGCCCTGTTTTCTTACTTGATATCCAGCTCCTTTGCCTGCTCTTTCAGCTTTTTGGCCAAGAAACGCCTCAACTTTGTCCTCCAGTTGAGCAGGGCTCTGCGTGGGACAGCAGACTGTTAGAGACACCCACTGGGCCCTGCATTATAACCTGTCCCAGTCCCAACCAGTACCTGAGCTCTTTGCGTCCCAGCACACGGATGTCCTTGCAGCACTGGCGCAGCTCTTCTGTGGTGGAGCTGTGGTTTTCCAGCTCACCATCCCCCAGCGTGATCTGGGCAGAGGAGAGGTTCATTAATTAAGCAGGTGTGTCGAATCCCTTTCTTTGGTTGGAATAATCAAATTACAAAGTACAAGAAAAATGACCAGCTAAACTCCAGGCAGGCTCCTGCCCTACCTCCCCCTTTGGAAGAACAGGAATGGGGCCATTGCTGGAGCATCCGGTCCCTCTTTTCACCACTCTGTGCCCCTGGGGACATCTCAGGGGTCACCAAGGTCCCCTCGACTTCAGGCACTCACCTCGTTAGCCTTGGAGAGGAAGTCCACAGGGTTGGGAGCCTTAAGGAAGTCCATGAGGGTGAAGCGGTGGTAGAGGGTGGTGTCACCATCTGCGTAGCCTTCGGCCTAGAGGAGGAAGGAGCTGCATGAGCTGTAGCTGGGCACAAAAGCAGCTTCAACCATCCCTAAGGGATGGATGATGTCACCTAACTCGTGTCCTGCTGCAGCGTCCACCTAAATGTGTCCACATGACCTCGAGACAAGTTACCAGCCCCAACCCACCAGCTCCACCACATTTTTTCACTGAAAGGGTTCTCAGCCATTGAATGGGCTGCCCAGGGAGGTGGTTGAGGCCCCATCCCTGGAGGTGTTCAAAAGATGGGTTGATGTAGTGCTGGGAGGTCTGGTTTAGTGATGATGCTCCTTGTTTGTTGTGCGGGTGTCTATTTTTGTCAGTCAGGTTGACGGTTGGACAAGATGATCTTTAAGGTCCCTTCCAACCTAGAAGATTCTGTGATTCTGTGATCTCCCAGCCCCACCTCAGACTCAAAGAGATGACAGTGATAGAGGTTTGTGTCACCTCCATGCCCAGCTGAAGCCACTTGACACAGTGTTTAATCCTGTGTCCTAAAGACACCTCACAGAGACACAAATCCAGTGGCCAGCTGTGGCAGGGAGGGTTTTACTGATCCATCCCCAGCTTCACAACTTGTTTTCCTGCAGCTGCACGGCGTTCTAAGGCTGTGAACCTCCCCAAAACCGCCTCTTCCACCACTTTGCATCCCCACACCTTCAGTTTTCTGAGCAACTTTGCTTATTATCTCGTTAGCCCCAATTCCCAGCCCCTTTAGTGTGTGTTTGGCCTTGCTGCCCCCCGAAACAAGCTCATACCTTCGGTTTCTTTTTGCTGACCAGCTCAGTAACAGACTTAGTCTGAACCTCCACCTCCTTGAAGGCATATTTTGGGTCAAAAAACTTGCTGTCGATCTTGTCTGGAGCCTGATAACCTGGGATGAAGGAATCACAGCTATAAGCAGGTTTTTTCCAGCCCCATCCCAGTGGCTGCACATCACCCCAGCTGCTCACCTTGACACACCACAAAGATCTCAGCGGACTCGTTGCGGGAGGCTTGGGGTTTGGTGGCCTGGACCTTGCTGAAGAACTGCTGGAAGATCCAGAGAAGTGGCTGGTAATCCCGGGAACGGAAAACCTTGGTGATGAACTCAGGTTGCTCCAAGCCCCCTCCAACCTGCCCTTGAACCCCTCCAGGGATGGGGAGATCTTTTTACCTCTTTAACTCTGCCAGCTCCTTGACTTTCATCTCTGCCAACGCCAGCTCTACCTCCTCCTCTTCTTCTTTCGCCTCCTCATCAGGTGCAGCGCTTGGCGACGCCTTCTTCTCCTTCTTCTCCTCCTTCTCCTCCTCTTTGCCTTCCTCCTCTTCACCAGAGCTCAGGCTGCCAAAAGGAAGGAGCTCAGACCATCTCTCCCAGTGGAGGCCCATCCCACCACGTTGGCGCTCTGGGGCAGCCCTGTTTTCTTACTTGATATCCAGCTCCTTTGCCTGCTCTTTCAGCTTTTTGGCCAAGAAACGCCTCAACTTTGTCCTCCAGTTGAGCAGGGCTCTGCGTGGGACAGCAGACTGTTAGAGACACCCACTGGGCCCTGCATTATAACCTGTCCCAGTCCCAACCAGTACCTGAGCTCTTTGCGTCCCAGCACACGGATGTCCTTGCAGCACTGGCGCAGCTCTTCTGTGGTGGAGCTGTGGTTTTCCAGCTCGCCATCCCCCAGCGTGATCTGGGCAGAGGAGAGGTTAATTAATTAAGCAGGTGTGTCGAATCCCTTTCTTTGGTTGGAATAATCAAATTACAAAGTACAAGAAAAATGACCAGCTAAACTCCAGGCAGGCTCCTGCCCTACCTCCCCCTTTGGAAGAACAGGAATGGGGCCATTGCTGGAGCATCCGGTCCCTCTTTTCACCACTCTGTGCCCCTGGGGACATCTCAGGGGTCACCAAGGTCCCCTTCACTTCAGGCACTCACCTCGTTAGCCTTGGAGAGGAAGTCCACAGGGTTGGGAGCCTTAAGGAAGTCCATGAGGGTGAAGCGGTGGTAGAGGGTGGTGTCACCATCTGCGTAGCCTTCGGCCTAGAGGAGGAAGGAGCTGCATGAGCTGTAGCTGGGCACAAAAGCAGCTTCAACCATCCCTAAGGGATGGATGATGTCACCTAACTCGTGTCCTGCTGCAGCGTCCACCTAAATGTGTCCACATGACCTCGAGACAAGTTACCAGCCCCAACCCACCAGCTCCACCACATTTTTTCACTGAAAGGGTTCTCAGCCATTGAATGGGCTGCCCAGGGAGGTGGTTGAGGCCCCATCCCTGGAGGTGTTCAAAAGATGGGTTGATGTAGTGCTGGGAGGTCTGGTTTAGTGATGATGCTCCTTGTTTGTTGTGCGGGTGTCTATTTTTGTCAGTCAGGTTGACGGTTGGACAAGATGATCTTTAAGGTCCCTTCCAACCTAGAAGATTCTGTGACTCTGTGATCTCCCAGCCCCACCTCAGACTCAAAGAGATGACAGTGATAGAGGTTTGTGTCACCTCCATGCCCAGCTGAAGCCACTTGACACAGTGTTTAATCCTGTGTCCTAAAGACACCTCACAGAGACACAAATCCAGTGGCCAGCTGTTGCAGGGAGGGTTTTACTGATCCATCCCCAGCTTCACAACTTGTTTTCCTGCAGCTGCACGGCCTTCTGAGGCTGTGAACCTCCCCAAAACCGCCTCTTCCACCACTTTGCATCCCCACACCTTCAGTTTTCTGAGCAACTTTGCTTATTATCTCGTTAGCCCCAATTCCCAGCCCCTTTAGTGTGTGTTTGGCCTTGCTGCCCCCCGAAACAAGCTCATACCTTCGGTTTCTTTTTGCTGACCAGCTCAGTAACAGACTTAGTCTGAACCTCCACCTCCTTGAAGGCATATTTTGGGTCAAAAAACTTGCTGTCGATCTTGTCTGGAGCCTGATAACCTGGGATGAAGGAATCACAGCTATAAGCAGGTTTTTTCTAGCCCCATCCCAGTGGCTGCACGTCGCCCCAGCTGCTCACCCTGGCACACCACAAAGATCTCAGCGGACTCGTTGCGGGAGGCTTGGGGTTTGGTGGCCTGGACCTTGCTGAAGAACTGCTGGAAGATCCAGAGAAGTGGCTGGTAATCCCGGGAACGGAAAACCTTGGTGATGAACCAGCCACCTTTGCAGAGGAATTCGCAGGCCAGCTTCAGGGCCATGAGGGTCAGGTTGGCTGGAGAGGGGGGAAGAAGAGCAGTCAGCAGTCGTCACCATCCAGCTCCTTGACCCACAGCACACACCACTGCCACCCTGCCCTGCTGGGGTGTGAGATGTGGAAGGATTGGGGAAGCATGGCTGAAGAGCTGCCTGGAGGAAAAGGACTTGGGGGTTCTAGTTGACAAGCAGCTGAATAAGAGCCAGCCATGTGCCCAGGTGGCCAAGAAAGCCAATGGCATCCTGGCTTGTATCAAAAATAGTGTGACCAGCAGGAGTAGGGAGGTGATTGTGCCCCTGTACTCAGCACTGGGGAGGCCACACCTCGAGTGTTGTGTCCAGTTTTGGGCACCTCAATCCAAGAGAGATCTGGAGGTGCTGGAGCGGGTGCAGAGGAGGGCAACGAAGCTGGGGAAGGGCCTGGAGAATAAGTCCTACGAAGAGCAATTGAGGGAGCTGGGACTGTTTAGTGTGAGGAAGAAGAGGCTGAGGGGAGACCTCATCACTCTCTACAACTACTTGAAAGGACATTGTAGAGAGGTTGGGGCTGGTCTGTTCTTCAAAATAATTAGTGATAGAACAAGAGGGAATGGCTTCAAGCTCCAACAGGGGAGGTTTAAACTGAACATTAGGAAGGAATTTTTCACAGAAAGAGTGGTCGGGCATTGGAACAGGCTGCCCAGGGAGGGGGTTGAGTCACCATCCCTGAATGTGTTTAAGAGTCGTTTAGATGTGGTGTTGGGGGATATGGTGTAGGGGAGAACTTTGTAGTGTAGGGTTGATGGTTGGACTCGATGATCCTGAGGGTCTTTTCCAACCTAAATGATTCCATGATTCTCTGTGCCTGCCCTCGTACCCCCCCAGACCGTGCCAGGCCACGTGCCAGCCCCACCTTGGGAATAGGCATCATGCACCCAGTTGGCTCCCACGTTGGGTGCTCCATCGTTCAGCACAACGTCCACCTTCCACGTCTGCAGCTCCTTGCGCAGGGCCTGAGGGACGGAGGAAGATGTAACTCCTACTAACCCAGCTGCAAAACCCAACAGGAGCAACCCCCATCCACAACAGCTTGGCTCAGCCCCCTGCCATGGTCCTACCAGGCAGCTGCGCGGTGCTCGGAGCAGGGGAGACAGCTCGTACCTGGCGGCACTTCTCAGTGGTGATGTCCTCCTGCAGCGTCACCACGTTGGGAATGGGCTTGATGGGGACCAAATCCACTCCTGGCATAAGAAGAAGAAGATATAAACACTGCAACCCCTCAAAACCAGGCACCAGCCCATCCCATGTGGTTTCCCACCCACCACGTCTCCCCCACCAGGATCCCCAGTCCAGGACCCTCATTCTTTGGCCATATCCAGGGATTCTGGTGGAGATCCCTACCCCCAGTCTGTTCCTGCCACGTCCCATCACTCACCAATAATCAAGCTGGAAACCGGCATGAATTTGGAAGCCACCTGCAGCCTGGAAAGAAGAGAGAGAAACGAAGCTACGGCAGGATCCCAGCAGAGCCCCCAGCCTTCAACCGGGCTGCCGGGGGTTTGGGATCAGCTTTGGCACCAAGGACAGAGACTGAGATTTCACTGAATTTCACTGAATTTTAGAGTTGGAAGGGACCATAGAGATCATCTAGTCCAACTCCCCTGCTGAAGCAGGATTGCCCAGAGCTTGTCAGAGCATGTTACTCAGGAGCATCCAGGCGGGTCTTGAAAATCTCCAAGGAAGGGGACTCCACACCCTCCCTGGGCAGCCTGTTCCAGGGCTCTGCCACCCTCACCGTGAAGAAGTTTCTCCTCATATTTGAGTGGAACCTCTTCTGTTCCAACTTGTGCCCTTTGGTGGAGATGAGCCACCAAAACAGGAAACACAAAAGCCACTTCACACTGAAGCCCCAGAGCAGCTGGTGGCACTGGGTGGTGACTTGGGTCCCTGCCTGCAGCCACTCACCACCCGCCGGGAGCCGCACACAGGTCCAGCAGTGCCCGGGCCTTCTGCAGGAACTGGAACTTCCTATTGAGCTGGAGAAGCTTGAAGGAGGAACGGGAGCGAAAGCCTGTGGAGGGAGAGCTGTGGGTTACGGATCACTGGGGTTAGGGGTTCCCAGGGCCACAGCCCCCCCTCCTGCCCCACAGCGAGCGGGCAGCCCCTCACCCGTCTCCTTGGCCAGGTGGTAGAACTTGTCCCTCCGGCTCTTGCCCAATTTGCTTTTCTTGCCCATGGTGGCGGTGGGTGGGCACCTCCGCGGGGTCGGGTGCTCCTGTCAGCCACCAGCACGGCCCTGAGGGGGGAAAAACAGTCAGTGTGAGCTGGGGACGGAGAGAGGGAACAGGGAGAGAAGGTGGGGGGGTGGAGGAGGGGGAACTGGGACAAAGGAGAGGCAACAGGGATGGGGAACAGGGACAGAACCGGGGGGGAACGGAGAA